AAAAGCACCAAAAAAAAAAAAAAATAAATAAAATCTTGCATAAAATGTTACTTTACTTTTCTGTACGCAGCTAAGGTATCTAGGTAAGGTTTCTTTTGCCATGCGATCAAATTATCTTAGGAGTCTAAGTTACTTCCTTTTCCTGCAGAGCTTGGCTGATTATAGGCAAGAATTAGATGAAACAATGAGCGATGCCTGAAGTTACAATATCCGCTTCTCATATTTTACTTTTCCATATGGCTCAAAAGCCGTTTGATGTTCGACTGGGCAAATGGTCAATGTCAATACAGACAACTTTTTGCATTATATCAGAGCAGGTTTTGGGGTCTTCATATACGGCTCAATCAAGCATCATGAACTGATCACTTGTTCACTTCTGTACGCCTCAAATTTTCTACAAACTACTTCACGTGTTATAAACAAGAGGAGTCTGGGCGTGATTTTATTTTTATTTTTGAAAATTTTTCACTTTCTTTATTAAATCAAAGTTTGTACTTTGTACTGGAGACTGTTTAGAAGATACACTAGCAGTGAAAATGATGGTTCTCAAATTATATAATTTGCCCCAAATTTGTTCAGTGAATTGTTGAGCATGTGTAATGGAGTGTGTTTGTCTTTTAACCCTCTGAACTGTGTTACTTGTGTTCAAAATTTGCTTAGTGAGATTATTGAGCACGTGTAATGGAGGGTGTTCGTCTTGAACTGTCTGAATTGTTGAATTGTGTTACTTGTGTATGGACTGAAAGTATTTCATTGAACGAATATTCTAGCTTAACAATAACAAATAGGATTATTTTGAGTTTAATAACGACAAAAAAAATAAAAAAAAAGATAAAAATTAATTGATCCAGTAAATTTCTATAATAGCAAATTAGCAAGTCTTAAATTTCAAAGTAGTAATTTTTATTATAAAATTTTAAAAACAAATTTAAACCCATTTCAAACCAAACCTAAAAGCCCAAACCCCATCTGGTACCCAAATATAATTAGTATTCAAGATTTTCCAAAATATTCAGACTTTTCAAAACAAAACATAATTTTTAAAATATAATTTTTTTAATGTATGTTGTTTCTAACCTAACCTTTTAATTAATGCTCTTTTATTAAAATTTAAATTATTTATCAGATACATATCTTTAAAATAAATATTGTATCTATCTATTTAAAATAAATTGGTTAGTATTGCATATCATATAATTAAATGAATCTAACCATTTTAAAAATATTTCTAAAATATTATAAAGTAGTCATGCTAATATTTCAAAATAATTTATAGACATACAATAGAATATAATATAATAAATTGAATCACAACCCTAACAATATTTTTAAAGTATTTACAGTACTTTTATATAATTACTTTTGTAGGTTTATATATATATATATATATATATATATATATTATATATATATATAATGTCATATAATTCTAGTGTTATTGATATATTTTATTTGTATTATAATGCATTGTTTCATTTTTTTTTTACCATTTTAATTAAATAATGAATATTTATATATTATATTTATATTCTTAGTTGTTGTAATACATACGATCACACTTAACCGTTAGAAAAATATAAAACATTTAACATTAAAAGACTGCTTGTACAAAGAATTGTTATATGTGGGTGTATATGCATGTTGTTCTTGTAATTTTTGCTTTTTGAATGAATATTTATTTTCTTTGACATTCTATGTGTGTATCATCTTCCTATGTTATAAATTAACATTATTACATGTTTTCCCAATAATGGTGTAGTTTGATCTGTGAAGTTTAAAAATATGTGGGTAACTAATGATGTGGTTTAATTTGAAAAGTGGCAGTGGGTA